GTCTCCAGTCTTCCCGTCTCCCTCCTTGAGGGCCATAGCCAGGATCTTTGCCTTTTTTTCCCAGATATTTTTCTTTCTCTTTTTTGGCCATCTCCTCTCGGTTTGCTACTACCTTGGCTGCTATACTGAGTTGGTCGATATCGGCACCTGTGAAGCCCTCCATCTTTTGTAGCTTTTGGCAAACATGAGAGACAGACTGTTGGACAAAGGCGGTGTTGATCATAGACCAGTTCTTGGGGGCTTCAGGGTCAAATGGAGTATACTGATCATAAGCATTGCATAACCAGTCATAGAATTGGATAGGCAGCTCATCAGGCTTCTGTGTGACTTCACTGACCCTGGAGAGGTTGGTTGCTCCTCATGTCCCCTGGTGGGCTCCCTCCAGGATGGCTTGTCTCATACGCTGGATGGATTGGAGCCCGGCGGGAGTGTTTGGATCCCAGCCCAGTCTGGTATCCGGGATCCTCTCATCTGCCCATCACTCTGGATTTGCAGTCTGGGGTGGAGCTTGGGTAACTAGCCATGCTCTGGACTGCTTGGTATACTCCCAGCGTGCATCACAAGTGAAGAGAGTAGACATGAGCTGATGGCAATCATCCCAGTTGGGTTGGTGGCTGTGGATGATGTTGGTTAAGATCTCTATTACAGCCTGTGGTTCCTCTGAGTATGCTGGGGTGTGCTGCCGCCAATTCAGGAGGTCGGTGGTAGTGAAGGGCTGGTACAAATATTGCATGGGTCCAGCCATGTATGACCCATCTGCCTGGGGTAATGGCAGCTCAGGAGCCTGGCACAGGGGGCATAGTGCCACAGCTGGGGCTCCTGCTTTCTTGCTTGTTAGCCTCCCAGAGGTCGGTGATCTTCCCCAATGGCTCGTATCTTTCTCTGGGGCCATCAAAGGCAAAGGGGGGGGGCGTATAACAAGGGAGTCATTGGGCAGGGGTTTGACTCTTATGCCTCCTCCTTTTTGTTGGGGTCCTCTGAGTTGGACTCAGGTCTCAGGGAGGCCAGCACAGTGAGGTGCTCTGGAGGAGCCATGGTGGCAGGTCTGGTGGTTCAGGTTCCCAGGTGTGGTGGTCCTCAAATTTCTTTTCTTTTACTTTTCCATTAATCAGAATAGCTGTATGTCTCCAGAGTGCATGAAAACATAGCCCTGTCAGGTGGGCGGGAGGCCAGGATGTACCAGGAGTCAATGTAAGGAAACTGGTCTGGATGACCTGGATCCCCAACGATTCTGTCTCTCACACAGGCAATAGTGGCTAGAGGTCCAGTGTGCCCTCTGTGGGCCATCCTACATTTGAAGATGGGCCATTCTACCTCAAAAATGGTTCAGAGCTTTGCTGGCTTCATCCGAACTCCATAGTCACCCAAGAAACTGTCCTTAAAGTTAGCAAGCATGGCCTGGAGTACTGTCAGGTGCTTTGACCCAGGAGAACCCACTTTATATGTGCCCAATGATTATCAGTGTCACAGGACAGACAAAGGGAAGGGGGTGCCTCTTAGTGAGAGGCCACACAGGTGCTCATCTAGCCACAACCCTAGGCGATGGGGTCAGGTGTGGCTTGGCTGCAGTGGGTTCAGCCCGACAGAGTGACTTACCATCACACTATGCCAATCACTGTGAAGTCACAGATTGAGCCCACTCAGACTCTGTAATTTTAGGGGACCTTAGAGGTGCCCAGCCATGGAGCCACAAATTCGAGCTTGAAACTCAAGTGAGTCAAGCCGCTCACTCACACACCATTCACTCAGAGTTTAAAACAATCAGTTCTTATTTATTTTCCCCTAAAATCCTGGCCTGCTCTAATCCCAGTTGACTGGAATCACATTGGTTACAGAGGAAGGGGATGCGTTACCCTGGATACTCTTCAGGGTTTGGCCAGTCCCCTACAGAGGATCAGTCTGTGCTGGCTCCTTACACTGACTACCCCAGGACTTCCTGGGGTGAGTTTAGGCCGTGTCTCCTCTTCAGGGAACCTGCACGGGGAGGACCATGCTGCAGAGCAGACAGTGATGGACATCTTCTTCAGAAGTTCATGTGAGGCACCTTCCCAGGCCCGTGTGGTCCTGAAGCTCCAGACCAACAAAGTGGACATCTCTGCGGTGGTCCTGCAGCAGCTGCCCACACACAAGTTCTACCTCCTCATGGGCTACGGTGAGACTCTGCTGTCCCACTTTTACAAGTGACCTGTGCAGCTCCACCTCCAGACTGTGCCTACAAAGGTTGTGATAAGTACATCTAGGAGAAGGCCCTCATCCCATAAGTGGAGCCTGCACAGGACACTTTCTGTCACAGAGGAAAGGGGTGAAGCAAAACCAGGCCCACGAGCTGCCTCAGGAAGGAGGCATCAAGTTCTGAGCTGCTGTTGAATAAAGGCCCTCATGCCACTTTGCCTCTCTGTCTTTACCCTCTGGTGAGTCAAGTTTCTTCTGGGGTTTCAGGGCTTGCAAGGAGACCACGAGTTGTCTGAAGTTTATTGATGGCTGCCCTTCAGCCACTACCAAGCACTTTACCTAAAGTGCCTTGTTATCTATCAAAATGATAAGGTCCATTTCTGGGGATAATAATGTAATTGATGTCTTTTTTTGTGGCAATACTGAAGGCTTCATGCTTGCCTAGCAGATTCTTTACCTCCTGAGCCATGCCCCTAGCCCCTTTGCTCTTGTTTCTTTGGTTTTTTTTTTTTCATTTATTTAGCATGTATTCATTGTACAGGGTGATTCATTGTGACAAGTCCATATAGGCTTATATTGTACATTGGTTAGGTCACCCCCACCATCATATCACCTTAACTCCCTTCCCACCCCGCTTAAAGCAATTACAAGAGGTTTCATCATTCTAGTTCATATATGTATATGAAGTCCATCAACCATATTCCCCCACCTTCATCTCCTCCATTCCCCCTCCCACTCCAACAAGTACCTTAGCACACTATGCCTGTTTTACAGTCCTATCCTTCATTTTTACTTCCAAAGTCAGTGTTCGAAGGGCCTTCTTGATGTATCCCAGATGTGAGTATACTTTACTTTGGTCACTTCAACCCCCTCTGTTTTTCTCCCCTTACCCTTCCCTCCAGTCCCCCATTATTCAACAGCTTTCAGTACATATTACTATGTCCTATACCTGCTACTTTAGTTTTATTTTTCATAACGGGTCTTGTGTTTTCGCCCAGGGCTGGCATTGGACTGTGATCTCTGCTTCCCTCATCACTGGGGTTACAGGAAGGCATGTACTATCATGCGTGCCTCTATTCTGGGTTTTTGTTTGCGTGAATGTGTCTCTGGGGTTTGAACTCAGCAACACACTTGCTAGGCAGGTGCTCTACCACTTAAGCCATTCCACTGACCCTGTCTGGTTTTTTGAGATGGGGGTTTTGCTGACATTTTTACTTTTTTTTGTCTGGGCTTGACCTTGAACTGAGATCCATCTCCACCTCCCTAGAAGCTGAGATCACAGGCATACACCACCAGGCCTGGAACAATTGATGTCATTTTTTTAAAAAATCAAAACCACTGGGATGTGGTCCTTTTGCACATCTTGCATCACTGTATTTTCTGTTCAGCTCACTCCTTGCTCTCTATACAATACTTTCAATCACAGATCTGTTTGTTCTTGATAGTTTCCCATTTCCAGAATCTCATTCAATGGGGCACACAGTTGGCAGCCTCCTCAGACTGGATCCTTGCACTCAGGAATAGTGCTTCTTATCTCTTGTAAGCTCTCTTTGCGGTGGTGGCTCTGCACCCCTTCATTGACTGGCATTCCACTGCAGGCATGTATCCCAGTTTGGTTACTCAGTCACCTGTTAACATATTGGCCATTGTGGTAAGAAATGGTGTACACAGCTGAAAGTTGGTGTACAGACTCTCCATCTCCCAAGTGTTGGCATTACAAGTATGTGCCACCACACACACCTCGATACTGTTTTTTAGAAAAAGATTTTAGGATTGGGGATGTATCTCTGTGCAAGTGTGATGCTTGAGGCCTGGGTTTAATACCCAGCACTGCCAAAAAAGGAAACAAATATATCAGCACTTTTAGGATATGCAGTGCTAGCTCACGACTTTAATTTGCTTTTCCTCATGATGTGTTAAGCATCATTTGTATGCTTGTGTGCCCTTTGTATATCTTTATTTTTTGGTAGTTCTGGGATTCGAATTCAGGGCCTCATGCTTGCTAGGCAGGCATTATACCACTTGAGCTACTCCCTCAGCCCTTTTGTTCTTTAGTCACTTTTTAGGTAGGGTCTCCCATTTTTGTCTGGGGCTGACCTCAGACTGGAAATCCTCCTACCTGTGACTACCCATGTAGCTCTGGAAGTGCAGGTGTGTGGTTCCACGCTTGGCTTATTTGTTGAAATGGGTTCTGCTAACTTTTTGCCCAGGCTGGCATCAAATTGAAATTGATACTTCCATTCTCTGCCTTCTGAGAAGCTGGGATTACGTGGTGAGCCACTGGGCTGGGTCTGTGTGTATCTTGAATGAGGTGTCTGTTGAGAACTATACCTGTTTTTAATTGGGTGGTTTTCCTCCATTTATCTTTCAGAGTTTCTTTTCCTTTTTCCTCTTGAGACAGGGTAGCAGTGTATAATACAGGCTGGCCTTAGACTTGGCAATCCTTCTGCCTCAGCATCCCTAGTCCTGGGATTACAGATGTGCACCCCCATGCCCACATTTGAGTCTCTTACTATGCTTTGGATACAAGTAATTTTCCCAAACAATTTCTCTCTGCCTGTGTAACCTGAGTTTTTGTTCTCTTTAGAGTGTGTTGGGCTAGAGAAGTGGTTCAAGCACTACAGTGTCTGCCTAACAAGCATGAGGCCCTGTGTTTAAACCCTAGTACTGCCAGGGGGGAAAAGGTGTCTTTTACAGAGCAGGTATTATTAATAAAGTTATCAGTGTTTTGCTTTTGTGGGCTGGATTTACTGTTGAATCTAAAACTCATCACCCAAATATCTGGTCACATTGAACTTTTTATGTTTTCCTAGCATTGTTACAGTTTTTCATTTTAAGTTTGTGGAATATTTTGAGTGAATTTTTATATAAGCTATAATGTTTGTATCTTTCTTTTGGTTGAGATGGATTTGAACTCAGGGCTCCATGCTTGCTAAGCAGGTGCTCTACCTCTTGAGCCACACCTGCAGTCCATTTTGTCCTGGTTATTTTGGAGATGGGGCCTCAAGAACGATTGGGCCTTGAATCTCGATCCTCTCCGGTCTCAGCCTCCAAGGAATCGGGTACAGATGTCAACCACCAGTGAATGGCTCGTTTTTTATCTATGGTTTTCCATTGTTCTCTCATCACTGTGCTAAGACACCTGTTTTGCAAGCCCAATGTCCTGAGTTCAAACCCCAGTTCCACCAAAAAGAAAAAAAATACTGCTTGGAAGTTTAGTAGTGAATGACTGCACAATCAAACTTCTGTTTTTTTCTCTATCCAAGCCAGTTCCCCCTTAAGCCTGAGGAGCCTCCCAAGAACCTCAAACTGATCTAGAACTTTTGAAGCTGTCACTTCTTCCATTTCAGTAGCAACATTCCCATGATCCAAATGCTCTTTACCTTCCATTATCTACACCATGCTTTTTTACAAAAAGGGTTTCAGCAGATTTCTTAATGGGGAAAGAGCATCAGATGGATGCATTTACATGAATTGAAATAACTCAAAATGATAGTTTTTATACATTAGTGGGAACTGTTAAACTGTTGAAAGCCAGTGATGGGATTTTTTTTTTCATGATAAGCAAGCAGCCAGTAATTGTCCACTCAGGGTTAAATGCCTTGCCTTGAAAATGGACCACCACTGACTTTATTTATAACAGAACAAAGAATCACACTATGTTGATGGTACTTAATGGAAGAAATGACTAACCTTTTTTTTCCCCAGAAGTATGTACACAGTTCATTTCATAGCATTTTCCTATGGAGTTAGCAAGTTATTTTTCTGCAGTTATTCACATCTTGCTAAAACCTGAAATATGAGCCAGGTGCCGGTGGCTCACACCTGTAATCCTAGCTACTCAGGAGGCAGAGATCAAGAGGATTGCAGTTTGAAGCCAGACCTGGGCAATTAATTCCATGAGACCCTATCTCAAAAATTCCTAACATAAAAAAGGGCTGGTGGAGTGGCTCCAGGTGTAGGCCCTGAGTTCAAGCCCCAGTACTGCAAAAAAAAAAAAAAAATCTGAAATACAAGCTAAGCACTTACAAATGTGGGTGTTCATCTACAAGGAAAAGCAGTACTTCCATTTCACCAATAAAAAGGAATTTTGAAAATTAACAGTCTGTTCTAGGAAATCAATCTTAGCTGAAAACTTCAGGATGGAGCTGGTTGGGTACAGCAGTGTTTAAATATCTTAACAGGAAAAATAAGACTTAAATTTATTTTATAACTGTTGTGGATTTCATTCATGCAATTGATTTTTAGTACAAAACAAGAAATAACCTCTTCTTCATACCATTCATAGTTATCTATATGGTTTTCTTCTTTTCAATGTGACATAATACTTCAAGATGACCCATATATACTATGTTGTCAGTTGAAACTATCATGCAAATATAAATGCTTTTTTGAAGTATTTCACAGATAGTGTTATATACATAGTTCAGTTTGATCTGGAGAAAAAAGAAAGCTACCACAAGCTTAAGTGTGATGCATAAAGTGAATGACTCATAGATGACATTTAAAATCTGCATCAAATGGTCGTGTGATTTTAATTTTTATCACCTCTGAAACTTTAAGCCATTAAAAAGAAAAGGCACAGTATTTAACTTCACCCCTTTGAGGGAATATTCTTAAAGAATCTCTTACTTGGTTAAAGTTTTAATATAACTGTTTAAAGAAAGGGAGCAAGAGAGAGAGAGAGACAGAATTTGACCAGAAAGTAAACAGTTTGCTGGAACATGTATCCTGCCTACTTGTAAGTTAGGTGCCAATTCAAGTGCTCTGCAAAAGAAATACATCTCTATGTACAAGATATTCCATTCATAATGCAGGATTAAACACTTTCCTTGGATTGTTTAGTGTACATTTTAACATGAATTAATTTTCCTTTTCATCAAATCAAAAGTTATCATTTAGAAAACTTATTACTGTTGTGTGAATAATATGCACTGAAGATTAAGCTAGTAACTGAGTGACCTGGTTAAACATGCATGAGCTTCTAGTTTTCTCTGAATTTATTTTTTCTGTTTTCTTTTTCTTTGGTGGCATGGGGAGGTGAACTCAGGGCCTCACACTTGCTAGCACTTGAGCCAGGCTGCCAGCCCTTTATGCTCTGGCTATTTTGGAGATAGGGTCTCTTTTTTTGCCTGTGGCCTGGACCACAGTTCTTCAATTTATGCTTCCCTGTGTTGCTGGGATATCAGGCATGAATCATTATGCCCAGCCATGGGACAAGATGGGATCTCTAGAACTTTTTGCCCTGGCTGGCCTCCAACTAGGATCCGTATATCAGCCTCTGGAGTAGCTAGGATTACAGGCTTGAGCTACCCAGGGTGCAATGCCTTTAACCTAAAGCTTTCAAACTATCCCACAATGGGCTGGATTGTGAGAGCAGAATTTAATAAGGAAGCAGAACAGCACATGACTATCACGTGAGTACAAACCAATCCTAAACCATTTCATCCTGGTCTATTTGCAATAAGACCTGGGAAATGAAATGTCCCTTGCCCTTGTGGGACCCACGCAGAGGCTTGTGGGAAATGTAGTCTCACACAGTCCAGTCACCGGCATCTTCAGGAGCGCAGCTCTTCCAGGTTTCCTTTGCGCAGGCGCCCCCCGGCCCCCGCCAAGTTCCACCGGAAGTTCCCAGACCTGCCGCTGTGAGGATACTGTGGCGGGGGCTTTGAATTCTTCCGCCAAATCCCTGAAGGTCTGTGCGAGGATGAGAGAGAAAGTGGCCTTGGGGACCCTGGGTGCAAGACCAGAGACCCTGAGGAGGTGTTGGCGGAATCGCAAGTGGTGACACAGGTGGCCGGCGGAGCCGAGCCGGGCTGGGAGGGAAAGTGGCAGCGGCCATGTGTGTGAGTGCGGCCAGGAAGGCGCACCTTGGTGCAAAGCCTTTCCTCACTTGGTCGTGTCACATCTGGTGGCGTCCAGGGCGCGTCAGTGGCACAGCGCAGATCGTTGTCTTGCGGGTACGCGGAGGCGCCTCCTGGAACCGTCACGGGGACGCTGCCCCCAAGGTCCAGGTACATTTGTTACGCACGAGCATCAGCAAAGTACGGAGTTGCAGCATGCATGTCTCCATGAAGAGAGGAGGAATTGCAGTGGGAGTGGCTTCTGGAGTTCTCTGGACAGTGATTAGTTCCTCCTTTAGCCCAAGTGATTTTCTTTTTTTGGCAGTACTGGGGTTTTGGACGCAGGGCCTCGCAAGCTCTGCATCACTTGAGCTGCACCCTCAGCCCGTGTTACTTGTAGTTGAATTTTCAGATAGTGTCGTTTTACTATAACTTTTTGTTTGTTTAGCGGTAGTGGGATTATGATACTGGACAGAATTTTCCCCCTGGGTTTGTGTCCTGGTGCAGTCATGAGTGAAGGCATAGGAGGAGTAGTTAGGGTTAAAGCAAGTTCATGCCCTGACCCCGAGTTAAGAGGAAAGCAAACACAGAGTTTATTGAATGGATAGCAAAGCTCCCTGATGCGTGGGACTTCCTGGAAGAACTAAGCCAAACAGTGGCTGAAGTCTAGCCTATGATAGAGAGCATTAGCTGGCTGAGGTCCAACCTTTCTACCTTTAAACTCTATTTGTGATTCGTTGGCGCCAAGTCAGCTTCTTGCTGAACTCAGGCACCTGTCTGTCCCTGTCTTTATAGAACTGAGCTTGCCAAGAAGGTCTGGTCAGTTTGTCCTGACCTTGGGGCCCACATCTTGCACCTTCATTTTGTTATTTTGGCTAGAGGCTTGTTATTTTTGTGAGAAACCTGTTGTTTCACATGCCCCTTTTATATGTCTCTCATCCAAAATGGAGTCCCTTTGTCATTGCTCCCCTTTCAATTTGAACTCAGGGCCTTGAAGCAAGCAGCTTTACCACTTGAGTTATGCCCCAGCCCTCTAATAGGGCTTGCTTCTCAGACTTAGAAATATCTCTAAGATATTGGGGTGTCACAAAACAGATGACAAAACTCAGAAGTCAATAGGCAAAGCAAAATTTACTTGTGCAGAAGGGTGTGCACCCTGCAAAGAATCTGGGAAGCAAACACAAACTGGGCAGGAAATCCACTGTGGTTTTATTTTTAAGTTGCCCCTTGCCTGGATGACCAAGTTTCAGGTTCACAGGCCATGTGGTTGGCTAATTACAAAGGGGAGAGTTTGGGCAGAGGGGCTTTGGTGACAAAGAAGTTTAAAAGTTCAGGGAAGCAATAACTGTTTTAGTGTAAGGGGAGCAATGACAGAGGTGACACCAGTTTGGATGAGAGATGTGCTTTAAAGCAGACATCTAAAGAGGAATGGGAAACAATGGGCTTCTCAGAGAAATACCAAGCCTGTCACCAAAGTAACAAGGTGCAGCTGCACAATGTGGGTAGTGGGCCCAAGGCCAGGACAAGATGAGCAAAGGGTCCAAGATAAACAAGGTGGGGGGCACTCATCACAATAATAAGCAGTAGTCATAAAATGTTTCAAGGACAGGATGGACTAACCAGACCCTCTTGGAATGTCCAGTCTGATAAGGAAGGCAGGGAAGGGGAGGAGTATCCAGGTGGTTGGGTTCAGCAAGAAGCTAATTAGACAGCCAATTATAGCTACAGCTTCAAAGTAGAGTGGGCAGAGGGTGCTTAAAGTCAGGTTCCTATTTTATCTCATGAACTCCAGCCATTCTTTGGCTTAGCTCTTTCACTAAGTCCCACCCGTTAAGGTGCTTTGCTATTCTTTCAATAAACTTTGTGTTTGCTTTACTCTCAACTCCCCGTGTGGTGTGAACTTACTTTAATTCTTAACTACTTGTTGGATTCCCTCAATATCAACTGTGCCAGAACACGAACACTGGGAACAACCATCCAGTGTGGTATTAGGTTATCAGTTCCAGATCCAGGACATCTAACAGAAACAGGAACTTGGACAGCTAGGGAAAATAACCCTTTTTTTCTTAATAGTAACTCTTATCAGGTTCTGCAGAGTCCATGTAGCAAGGCTATGGGAAATGAGTTAGACTAGCATTTGTAGCAGTAGTGGTTACTGATTAAATCCTTTGACAGAAAAGACCAACCTAAGTTCATTCTTACAAGACCATGATCTTCCTCCGATCTCTCCTTCCTGTGTAGCTGGGATTGAAGACATGTGCTACCACATCCAGCACCCAGGTGCATTTATTTTTGAATAATATGCTTTTTATTTTTTTATTGTTGGGTTGAGGGCCCTGGGTGCATTTTTAGTGAAGACATAATGTTTGTTTAAATTATTCTTTTTTTTTTAAGTGGGGTTGGGGTTTGAACTCTCAGGGCTCCATGCCTGCAGTAACTCGAACCTTCAAGAGGGAGGGGATCCAGTTCTAACCTGGCTTCCTTTAGTTCACCCTAACAGGTATGTCTTCATTGGGGACTTTGTTATCTTTTCTTTTATAAGGGACTATTCTCCTAGAGAGGTTTTTTCTTTTTTCTTCCAGCTAACATGTAGAGTTTTGAGCAGGAGAATCTTGACCAAACAATGCCTGTCGACTCATGAGTCTGCTGTTCTCTCAGCTACACCTCCAGAATGTGCTTCTAAGAGAAATAAAAAATGACTCCATTTCCGGTGAGTTGTTTAGTGATTCTTCACTTTGTTTTATGGTATTTTACGAGCTTTGTGAAATCTATAAATAAAAATGGACTTGTAGAAATGAGTAAGACGGCGTCAGGGTAATGCATAAAGAAGGTAGAGTTGGCATGTTGATAATAGGCAGGGTTTTTCCTTTTTTGTGTGTGTGTGGTCAGTACCGGAGTTTGAACTTAGGGCCATGTGCTTGCTAGGCAGGTACACTACCACTTGAGCCACTGCACCAGCCATACGCAGATTTTAAGATGCTAAAAACATCTGTGCTGAGCACAGATTTATCTCTGGACTTTTTTTGGTGGGGAGTACAGTTTTGAGGTTTGAACACCTTGTGCTTATTAGACATGTGCTCTACATTTGAGTCATGCTGCCACCCTTTTTCCTTTATTTTCTAGGAAAAGGATCATGTGTTTTTGCCTGGGGCACCATAATCCCCCTACCTCCATCTCCTTTGTTGCTGGGGCTATAGGTGTGCACCATGCCCAGCCTGATTTTTGAGATAAGGTCTTGCTAACTTTTTTGCTCCTGCTTGCCTTGAACCAGAATCTTCCTGTTTCTGACTCCAGAATATCTAGGGTTACAAGTGTGTGCCACTGTGTCTGGCCCTACCTCTGGTCTTTCTGATGCCATGACAAAGGGAAGACACATTTGTTACATAATTTTAGTGCTACCTGAGAAGAGAGCATGCTAACTTCTCATGGGACACAAAAACTTCACCAAAGGCTAAAACATTATCTGGTTTCATAAATGTTGTAGTGAGTTTTTCAGGAAATGGCACTTTTTTTTTTTTTGAGGTACTGGGGCTTGAACTAAGGGCCTACACCATGAGCCACCCCGCCATCCCTTTTTGTGTTTGGTATTTTCGAGATAAGGTCTCACAAACTATTTGCCCCGGCTGGCTTCAAACCATGATCCTTCTGATCTCTGCCTCCTGAGTAGCTAGGATTACAGGCTTAAGCTACTAATGTCTGGCTTGGAAATAGCACTTCTAATATTATGCAGTGGAAATGGTTATTTGGTACTAATACAATACTCTCTTAATCAATTTTTCTGGAGTTGTTAAAATAGTTTATTCCCAGGCAGCTTTTGGAAGGCCATATTTGATTCATGGATAAAACCTAGATTATATGGAGGATTGAGTTGACCACAGTTTGTTCAGTGACTCTGTACCTGTCTGTCAGCTGCTGTGTAAATGTTCGCACTGTTCAAAGTTAAATTTCCTGGCAGATTTTCTCACTGCTCATTAGTCCTTTAACTCGCTTAGTGTTGCCTTAGTTCAACTATTCAGAAGCCCATTAATAGCCTAAATTGTAGTCTGCATCTACCGCTGTTTGACATATTTGAAGCTACTGCTTGTGATGTGCTCCTTGACATCTTCTTTGTTAGTCCCTGTCACAGCCTTTCCCATGATGTCTTTTCTGTTACCCTGAATTCTGCTTTTTCTGTTCTTTAACATAACTCAACAAAGTGCTCCATCCTCATAGTTTCTGTTTTTGAAAGGTTGTTCATTGTTTTTTCAGTTCCTTCTTTTTTTGTGTAGTGGTGATAGGGTTTGAACTCAGGGCCCTGTGCCTGCCAGGAAATTTCTCTACTGCCCTTCAGTTCCTTTAATAGAAATGTGTTCACACGGTGTATTTCCAACTTATGATTTTGGATAAATTGTGTCTTTTCAGGCATTGCTCCATTTTACCTAGCCTATTGAATGTGTAGACGTAGAGTTATTCAGAGTATTCCTTTGTTATTCTTTTAATGTTCATAGAATATGTAGTGACATCCCCTTTTTATTTCTGTTATTAGTACTTTGTGCCCTTTCTCCTTTATTTTCTTATAACCTGACTATACGCCTAAGGATTTTACTGATTTTTTTTTTTTTTGATGGTACTTGTGTTTGAACTCAGAACCTCATGTTTGCTAGGCAGGTTCTCTGCCACTTGAACCATGCCCCCAAGCCATTTTTACTCTAGGTATTTCTCAGATAGGGTCTCATGATTTTTGCTGGGCTGGCCTGAGACTGCAACCCTCAGTCTCAGGCTGGGATCATGCCACCACCCCCAGCTTGACCTCAAACTGTTGTCCTGACATCTCTGTCTCCTGAGTAGAAGAGTAGGGACTACAGGCATGAGGCACAATAACTGACAGTGTATTGACCCTCCCACACCCTTCCCCACCTCCTTCCCCTCCCATTGGTGCCAGCTCCTCCCAGGCAGGACCTGTTCTCTGATTTGTAAAAGGAAAAAAATGACATTTTTCTTTAACATACATACACAGGGAGTATCTTTGTGAGAACTGAAATTGTCATCTGCTCTGATTTTCTTCTTTATTGATATTTTTAAGGAAGTTTTTTTCCATTATTGGTTTTCTTTGTTGAGTTTCTGTTTCAATTTAGCTGATTCTACTTGTAATGCTTCTTACTATTTTTCTCCTTTTGCTGGATTTAATTTTCTCTTTCCCCCATAGTTTCCTAAGGTAGCAACTTAGATTATTGATTCTAGATCCTTGTTTTCATCTAGTATACACATTCCATACCATCAACTGTCCTCTAAGCACTGTTTTTGCTGCATCCTATAGATTTTCATAAGATGTGCTTTCATTTTCATTTAGTTCAATATTAAAAATTTCTCTTGAGAGTTATTTTCTCCCCCATGTTTTCTCCATATGTTGTTTAACCTCCACATATTTGGAGTTTTTCAGTTATCTTTTTGTTACTTGTTCCACTCTGGTCAGAAAGCGGACATTTTGTGCTGTCTAGTCTTTTAAATCTGTTCAGGTGTGTTTTATGGCTGAGAAGGTGGTCTGTGTTGGTGGTTGTTCATGTGTGCTTGGGAAGAATGTGTAATCTGTTGCTGGAAGCAGTGATTGATGCCAATTACATGTACTGGAACTCAACTGTTGTTGAGTTGAGCTCTGTCATTACTGATCATATGCATGGCGGGTCTGTCCACTTTGGAAAGTGGATTGTTGAAGTCTCCAGTTATGCTTGTGGGTTATCTTTCTTTGGCACTTCTAACAAATTTGCTCTCGCATAGTTTCAGAATCTGTTATCAGATGCATATATGTTCAGAATTGTTACACATTGCAGTTTAATCACTGCATTATTACCTAATGCCCCTTTTCCTGGTCACTTTCTAGGCATGTGCTCTACACCTCAGGGAGGTCCCTACACCTGAGTTCTTTTAATTAGTGTCAGCATGATATATTTTCTCCATTTAGTTTTTTAAATTATTTTAGTAGTGTATATTAATTGCATGAAGGTGTTTCATTGTGATATTTCCATACACTTATGTGCATGTAATGTACTTTGATCACATTTACCCTATCTCCATCCATTTCCTTTTAATTCGTATGTATTTGTGTTTATTTTTTGGTGGTACTGGGGTTTGAAATCAGGGCCTCATGCTTGCTAGACAGGCATTCTACCACTGGAGCCATTCTGCCAGCCCTGTCTTGTGTTGAACGTTTTTGAGATAGGGTCTCCACAACTATTTGCCTGGACTAACCTTGAAACTTGATCCTCCTTGTCTCCCCCTTCTGAGTTAGTATGATTACAGGTGTGAGGACAGCATATGTGTTTGCATTTAAATGAAGTTAAATGAGCCATACACAGTTGGAGTTGTTTTGCCCACCTGTCCTGGCATGCTATGTATAGTTTATCCATTAGCTTCCTTAGTGCCTTGATCAGAGTTTTAAAGAATGTTTGCTCTGTGATAATGCCATGTCTGGTTCTGATGCATCCTCTGCCACTTCAAATTGTGGGTTTTTTTCTTTTTAATATGCCTTGAAATATTTTCATAGCCTAACCTGTCATGCCAAGTAAAAGGAAGTATTAAAAATAATACACATGGTAATATGGTAAGTTACAGGGGAGGGCAAGCTGTTTTCTTCTATTAAAGCTACTATAATAAAATAACATATACTACTGCTGTGTGCTCTGTCTCCTCCATTCCCTTTTGGATCTAGAAAGAGTTGTTGAATTATCAGTTTATTCAGCTCTGTATTTGATTTTGAAACAGAGTGACAGTTTCCTGTATTTATCAGCCTTCTGTCATTGTGACAAGATGCTCAACAAGATCTTAAATGTGTGTGATAATCAACTTAAAAGGAGGAAATATGTATATTGTCTGTTGGGTTTGTAGTTTTCAGTGCATCACCACTTGGCCCCATTGTTTTTGGGCCCGTAGAAGGCCCAAAAGTACATCGTAGCAGGAACTCATGGCAGAAGCAGCTGCTTACCCCATAGCCTGGAAGCAAAAGGGAGACAAGAATTGACCAGGTCTCTGTATCTGCTCCAAGGCCCACCTTCTGTGACCTCTTAGAGATTCTACCACCTGCCTGCCTCACCATGCCCTGAGTCCTAGCCTTTCACAGCTGGTCATGTCCTTACTAAAACTGAACTGATACCAGGATGGTACTTGTATTTTCATTTATTTATTTGTTTTTTAGGCAAGATCCCTCATTACCTCATGATGACCTTGTATGCCCTGTGTAGCTCATACTGGCTTTGAAGTCTCTATCCTCCAGCCTTCACCTCCTAAGTTCTTGGATTACAGGTATATACCACCGTGCCCTGTCCAGGGTCAAATTTTAAAGGGAACCTATGTGTATGCGAACCATTGAAGGAATTTGTCTCCATAGAATATGAATATGCTTAATTTTATTAGTGGAGCTCCTTTTTCCTTTTTTGTTTCTGAGACAGGGTCTCACTATATTGCACAGGCTGGCCTTGAAGTCATGATCCTCCTGCCTCAGCCTCCTGAATGTTGGGATTACAAGCATGCACCACCATGAATGCCTTGTAGAGTTCTTAACATTGAGCTTTTCTTTATTTTTGTGACAAACTCAGAAAATTTGTTCTTGGCCTTTGTAGTCTATTTTTTGTCCTCTATCAGGAAATACTATTTTCCTTATATTCTTTTCTTATTACTTTCCTTCTTAAAAGACAATCCATTTCATTCACTTGGATAACTTTAGACAGCACTAAAATTCTGTTACTTTCCCAATTTATTTTTATCCTCATCTTACATCTCTCTTCTGAGCTCTGGAATCATGTATATAATTGGTAGTTTGCTGTCCCATATACCTGGTCTCAGATGTTCCAATTGTGATATGTTCAAGTCTGTGTTACTTCTACACTTGTAATTTTTGGCGGTGCTGGGGTTTGAACTCAGGGCCTTGCACATGCTAGGAAGGTGCTTTACCATTTGAGTCACTCCCATGGCCCTTTTTTTATATTTGGTATTTTTTTTTCTTTCTTTCTTTTTTGTTGTTATTTTCTTGTGTGAGTTTTTTTGTGTGTGAGTGTATTGGCTATTTTCACGATAGGGTCTTACAAACTTTTTGCTTGGTGTGGTTTCAAACCAGGATCCTCCTGATCTCTGCCTCCAGAGTAACTAGATTACAGGCATGAGCCAGAGGCACCAAGCCTGCTGTTGTATTCTGCTTCCATTTTCCACATTTCATATTATGGTGCCAATATTTAAGTAGCGTCAATCATGCTGATCACCTGGAAGTAAAATATCTTTTATCTTTGTTCAACAATTTTTTATCCAAATTTTGTTCCTGCCCTTCTTTTTTCTCCTTTTTAAGATTACTTCTCTATTGTATAGTCTTTCTTCTCTGTGACCTGACATCTCACTCTAGTTTCTTACCCTTTAATTCTCTCTTAAGGCTTTCCAGTTCTCCTCCTGACTTTTGTAATGTAGATCTGCTCAGTTTGCCCACTTGTTCTCACCTGACCTCACGTTTTACACCTGTTTGAGAAATGGCAGAGATGCCTGGAGTGAACACCAGCAGCCTTTTGGAGGTAGGAAGGAAATTATGTTGCCTGTGTGCATACTTTTAGTTTATGTCATTAGAAAAAAACAGCACATAAAATTTCTTGTTGGAGATTTATATATATATATAAAATGCATAATCATGGCCTTCAATATTGTGTTTATCTCTCATCCTGGTTCAATTTCTTTCAGCTCAACATCCTGGCTCATTTGTTTCAGCTCAACACGATGCTATGTGTAGTTCTATTGATGTGGTGAGTGTTGTTTCTGTGGTTGTGAGTGGACTTCTGCTGTTGCCATGTAGCCATGAGAACATGATTTTAGCAAATGAAAATGCTAAACATCCTAGGCTTCTCAGTGTAGTGCAGATCCTTCATGCAAAAATAGAAGTATATGTTCTCCTTCCTTGCTTCATTTACATTGAAGCTGTAAATGAATTCATGTAACAGATTAAGGGGGTTTTGTTTATAATGCTGGGATATAGCCGTGCACCACCAGGACTGTTTTCACTTATATTTTAATCCCCATGAACTAGAATTTTCCCTTGCTTTTTTTTTTTTTTTTTTTGTACTGGGGTTTGATCTCAGGGCCTACAGCTTGTGCCACTCCACCAGCCATCTTTTGTGATGGGTGTTTTCAAGATATGGTCTTGTGAACTGTTTTCCCAGGTTGACTTTGAGCCATTATCCTCCTGATCTCTGAGTAACTAGGATTACAGGAGTTAGCCACTGGTGATCAGCTTGGAAGAATGTTGTTAGATCTATAAGATAAAGTTTGTTATAGTATTTTTAGTACTTAATAAATTATTGCAATGGCAGTACATTTTGGTGACTTTCTTTCACATGTAGAGTACAAAGCAAGTTGCATTTTTTGCAAAATGCATATAAGAATTTCTCCTCAACACTCCCAACCCACATACAGAAGGCAGAACTTCCATACTTCAAGGACTGGTGAGTAGAGAAGAAATATGGCATTCCAGGAGGTGGTGTCATTTGAGGACGTGGCTGTGGACTTTACCTGTGAAGAGTGGTGGGACCTGGACAATGCTCAGAGGACCCTGTACAGGGAGGTGATGCTGGAGACCTACAGCAGCCTGGTGTCCTTGGGTGAGTGAAACTGCTCTGTAGCTCTCAGGAGCAAGCGCTGTCTTATTAGTAAGCATATGAGAACTATTTAGGTGCACAATTGCAGCCCATGAAGAACTCAATAGTTTACCCCTCTCTCATCAAAAGTTTACATGTGCCTTTCCTTGCACAGTTCCAAAGCTGGGGTTTGTGTTGCTTCAAAGAACCTGACTTATAATGGAGGGGATGAGCCACTCAGGGTACAATACGTACATGCATACTTACATACACACACATATATATGAAAATGTCACAGTGACATTCTCTGTATAGCCATCATAAACACACAAAAATATCTATGGTAAACAATGAAGGACAGGAAGGTAAAACAATTCCAGGGGTTAGTATGACATAAGGAAAGGGTGAAGGAGGGTGAATGTGGTGGAAATGTTATGTATTCATGCATGAAAATGGAACAATGAGACCTATAGAAACTGTTCTAAGGATGAGGGAGGGAGGGTAAAGGAGAATGAGGGAGGGGGTGAATCTAAATAAGATATATCCTATTCAGTTTGTTAATGTCACAGTGTACCTCCGGATACAACTATAATATGCTAATCCATCATTAAATGAAAAAAGAAATTAAATTAAATTGTAAATGTATCTCATCAGTCATATGGTCCTATTTCAAGTGTTACGGGCTTTCACCTCCGTTGTTGGCAAACAGGTAGAGAACGTGTTCATCCTTGCAGAAAGGGATAGTGATGGAGGAAATCCTGACTTAATTCTTTGACACAATCCTATATTGTTTTGTATGAACAGGGCAATGCATCACCAAACCTGAGCTGATCTTCAAGCTGGAGCAAGGAGCAGAGCCATGGATGAGAGAAGAACCCGCAAGCCAGAGCCCACCAGGTCAGTCACTCCTTACTGAGTGGAGAGGCCATGAGAGTGGAGCCCAGCAGATGTTGGCTATGTTCACCTTTACCAGGTTACATCCCAGATTGCAGACCTGAGGACAGTGGGCTTGCACACATTAAACCTGTGATTATAGTCTCTAAGGAGGACTCTCACACATATCTTGTTACCTTTATCCCAAATCTAAATCCTGTTCTCAGGAATTTTTCTTTGCTATTTACTTTCTCAGTTGGCTTACCCTCCAATCTCATGGGTTTTTAAGAAGGTATTAATTTACTTTTAAATTTATTAATTTTTGTGTGACTGGGGTTTGGTTTCAGGGCTTTTAGCTTGCAATGCCAGCAGGCACTTGAAAAGCAGGTGCTCTATCATTTGAACCACATCTCCAGTCCACTTTGCTGTGGTTATTTTGGAGGTGAGGTCCTGTGAACTATTTGCCTGGAGCTGGCTTAGAACCATGATTTTCCTGATCTCAGCCTCCCGTGTAGCTAGGATTATAGGTGTGAGCCTCTGGCACTAGGTTTAAATTTTTTTTTTGAGACATAATCCTGATACATCCCCTGCTGGCCTTGTAGTCTCAATCTTCCTGCTTCTCCCTCCTTAGTGATGGGATTGCAGGTGCCTGCTACCATGCCTGGCTTCTCATAGACTTGAATTGTCTGACATTTACTCATAAATCATTTATAGTTCAGCACATCCTACTGGAGCCAGTTTTAAAGCACTGGCAACTTTATAGTTGTAATGATGACAGAAATTATCAAAATAATATCTCTTATGGAATTATACTCTGCTGAGAGAAAAACAAGAATTATGTATTTTAAGTAGTCAAATAAGAAGCATGAGGAATATTTAATCAAAATGAGAAAAAGGAAACATGAGATGTGATCATTTAGGAAGAATGGTCAGAGAAGACAGACTTAGGAAGAGTTTGAATTTGCTGTGTTGGGGATTGAACCCAAGGTCTTGAGTGTGTTGGTCAAGTAATGTTCCTTTGGGCTACATTCATAGTGGTATTATTTTTTATGTTGGCATAGCTTGAGTTTCAGTTCCTGTTTTCAAATTTTTATGCATAATAGGTGAATATGAAGATCTGCATTTGAAAGTCTACATAACTTTTGGAAGCACATATTTAGAAATTGGTACCTTGAAGTTGGTTTTTAACCTTAGAGAGCAGTTCACCCAGGGAGTTGATAAGAAGATGAGAAAAGTCCAGAGTTAGTCATATGAACTGTGGTGACTCACATCATGACAATGGAGGATCCAGCCTATTGGTCTGCATTTGGGGAAGAGCCAGGACATTCTTTGTCCCAAGCTTGAGTGAACAAAGGGTTTCATGTTCAAAAGCTCAGATTTGTGTTTGGAAGTTTAGTTTGAAGTTAGCCTATCCATCTTCTCTTAGTGGATATCATTATAAACAAGAAAGAGGAGGGGAACTGTTCAGAAGACCCCATTTTGTATGAAACTAGGAGAAAGGTAACAGTCCAGTGTACAAGATAACATCGTTTGGGAGAAGTTGATTATCAAGCATGAGTACGTGTGCCAAAAATTAGGGAGAGATGTTGGGGCTGTTGATCTTTGAAGGAGTCAGAAAACAACTTTACAAAGTAGATGAGTTTCAAAGATGGGAGTCTAGGGTGGAGGGAGGAAGAAAAAACTTATGTTTCTGAGAAGCAGAGTAAGTAAGATTAAATTAGGTTTTTGTAGAGGGCTGTGTTTGTCTAGAGTAGGAAAAAAGCGATTTTATATTTGAAAAACTTCCTAGATGCCTAAGGTTATTCCCCAGGGAAGAATGAGAACTAAACAAATATAGATGCAAAACACTGTCCTGAGTCATGTTCCTGTCAGGTGGCAGTCAGTTGGAACTCACTTGTAATCTGCAAGTAGCTGGTCCAGAAAATTCTTGTACTCTCCAAAGTAGAATAATGAGAAGAACAGTAGCTGCGACACAAACATTGTCAAAACAATAGAGGAAAAGAATGGGGGAAAGAAATGGCAGGCGAGAAGCCCTCCATGGAAATCCATGACTGGGCTGTAGGTGAATATTTTAACCAATTACTTCGTCATGGAATAAAATTTAAAGAAGCAAGGAAAAACAGTTCAACATTATAAAATCTGTCCCTGTCATTTATTACTTTAAGTCAGTAGAAAGAAAACTACCTAACAAGCCAATACCTGTTGTGATTTTTATGAAATCTTATGCCAGTAGAAGGGGAAGAACCTCCTTTATATACACATGCACATTCCATAGAAATGCTTAGATGTGTTTCATGTATATGGTTATTTTCTTTTTCTTCATTTTAGATGTCCAGAAAGTGAATGTCTTAATTGAGACCACTGAAGAAAGTCAACACAGGCAGTTGTGGCAAGCTGGAATCACTATGAACAACACACCAACTAAGGAGAGAGTTATATTAGGACATACCTTTCATTTGAGTTTCAACCATATTTCAGATTTGATTGTAAAGCATGCAGGCTCATTAGGAGAGAAGTCTGAGGAGTGGAATGTATTTCATAACACGTGTTGCCCTAGTCAGCCTCTGGGGATGTATGCTCATGAGAAAACCTATCAGTGTAATCAGTATGGAGAATTCTTTGTCCAGAAGTCACACCTCACCAAGCATGAGATAATTCATACTGGTGAGAAGCCCTATAAGTGTAGTCAATGTGGTAAAACCTTTGGCTGGAAGTCAAGACTCACCCAGCATGAGATGAATCACACTGGTGAGAAGCCCTATAAGTGTAGTTACTGTGGTAAAACCTTTGGCTGGAAGTCCAGACTCACCCAGCATGAGATGAATCACACTGGGGAGAAGCCCTGTAAATGTAGTTACTGTGGCAAAACCTTTGGCTGGAAGTCACAACTCGCTAGGCATAAGATGATTCACACTGGGGAGAAGCCCTATCAGTGTAGTCATTGTGGAAAATCCTTTCGCCAGAAGTCAAGCCTCACTATACATGAGATAATTCACACTGGGATAAAGCGCTATCAGTGTAGTTACTGTGAAAAAACCTTTGGCTGTAAGTCTCACCTCAGCAAGCATGAGAGAATTCACACTGGGGAGGATACCTATCACTGTAATCAATGTGGGAAAATATTTGGCTTGAAGTCTTACCTCACCCAGCATAAGAGAATTCACACTGGGGAGAAACCCCATGAATGTAATCAGTGTGGTAAAGCCTTTGGCCAGAAGTCACACCTAACTATGCATGATAAAATTCACACTGGGGTGAAGCCCTATCAGTGTAATCAGTGTGGAAAAACATTTGCCTGGAAATCATACCTCACTAAGCATGAGATAATTCACACTGGGGAGAAGCCATATCAGTGTAATCAATGTGGAAAAACCTTTGGCTGGAAGTCACACTTCAGTCAGCATGAAATGATTCACACTGGGGAGAATTCCTATCAGTGTAATCAGTGTGGAAAAACCTTTGGCTGGAAGTCCCACCTCATCCAGCATGAGAGAATTCACACTGGGGAGAAGCCCTATAAGTGTAACCAATGTGGAAAAACCTTTGGCCGGAAGTCACACCTCAGCAGGCATGAGATGATGCACACTGGGGAGAAGCCCTATCGGTGTAATCAATGTGGAAAAACCTTTGGCCAGAAATCACAACTCATGAAGCATGAGAAAATTCACACTGGAAAGAAGCCCTGTCAGTCTAATCAGTGTAGAAAAGCCTTTGGCTGGACATCACACCTCAGCAGTCATTAGACCACTCACAAGAGAGTAGTATTTTGAGATAGAACTTTCTCAGAAATCAAACCTCAGGAAACATCACAGAATTTACACAGTGGGAAAATCCTGTATGGCAGAGACTAGCTATATATTCACCAAAAGCCATTTTCTTTTCTCTGGGATACGGCAAGCTTTTCTCTGCCTCCACTTCCTATGGCCAACACTTCACAGCTCTCTGTGGAGATACAGACACAATGATGAACATTACTGTAATGTAACAATGACCTTGCAGTCCTCTTAGATTCAAAGCTCAAGCCTTAGGTGTGTTCAATTGTGATTTGAGACAAAAATGAAGAGAACAGAAAACTTTCCTCCACTGGTCCAGTGCCCTCCATTTGTTACATGTGAGAAATGAACACCTCCTCTGTTCTGCCATTTTATGTATGGTCTGTGCATTTCAGCACCTATAGCTACTCTTGCTTACTTGCTTTATGAATATGGGAGGTATTCCTGAGAGTGTCGCCCTGTTCATGTTTACCATAAAATTCAAACAGAAGAGAAAATTGCATTGTCATCTTTCATTCCCAAGTCAGGTTTTGGGAAAATCAAATGTAGGGGGCCCAGGAGCAGTAGCTTATGCTTGTAATTCCAGCAATGTGGTAGGGAGAGGTTGGAGGATTGTGGTTTGAGGTCATCCTGGGCAAAAATTAGCAAGGACCCATCTCAACTAATGAGCCAGGTGTCAACACAGCTGTACACAACTGTAACACTAGCTCTGTGATTTGCATAGGTAGAAGGATTGTGTTCCAGGTTGCCTTGGGCAAAAACTGAGACCCTACATGAAAAATAACAGAGCCTGGGGATGAGTCAAGTGGTAAGTGCTTCCCTAGTAAGCTTGGCATCCTGAGATTAAACTCCAGTACCACCACCACCACCACCCCCAAAAAATGAATTGCTGAAGCAAATATAGAAATGCCTTTATCAGGGCAGGCTCTCTCACTGAACACTGGGAGTAAAGTAAACTTGTATTTTTAATGTGTTGAAGATTTCTATAAAATTTCATCTTTGGACTGGAGGTGTGGCTCAAGTGGTAGAGCACTTACCTGGCAAGTAAATGTGAGATAGACCATGAGTTCAAACTCCACTACCAATCAAAAATTTTTTGAGTGCATTAGAAAATTTGTAATGAAAGGAAAAGTATCCATGGTGTGTAATAACAATTTAGATTTTCAAATAGAAATGTTAGATGTAGTCTCAAACACAAAACATTTGATTATATACCACTAATGACATTTGAGTGGTGCTACTGCCTGCCAAGGTACATTTGACTGTGTTTGGAGATATTTTTGTTGTCAAGACTGGAGGTTGGGAGGTGCTGGAAGGAGGATTTAGAAGTGGGGACACAACCTACAGAACACAGAGCAGCCTCTCAAGTATATAGGGTTATGCTTATGAGTGTTTTATGGTAGGAATTTTCCTTAATGGGCCCATAACAACTAAGGTAACAAAATACATATCCCTAGCATAATGTGATTTAGGTTATTGTACACTCCATTTTCAGTCAAGACCTTTATGAAAACAGGCTTACTTTCATGTCAGTCACTTTCCAGTTGCTATGACAAAATGACAGAAGACACGGGAGGAATGATTTGGCTCATGCTGTCATTCCTAGGCTTTGTTGCTTCTGGCCCCAAGGTGAGGCATAGATAGCATCGTGGCAGGGAGCATATGGTGGCACATAGCAGCTCATGGACAGACGGAACCCTTACACTCACAGGCAAACTCACAAGGGTGCTTTACTTATCTGGGTGCTTCTCATTCCAATCAGTTGACAAGATTTGCCATCACAATTTTTCTCACAGTTTAGGAGGATGAAATTCCAATATGAGTTCCCTTCATTTCATCCTCGTTTGTCTGTGTCCCATGCCACATGCATTGCATGTCTTTGTCTTGACGCGTTCTTATGTGCAGTAACTGTAAGATGAGCATTGGTTCCCTTTGGGGCACTGTCTTCCATGCCATAAAGTGCCTTCACTAGGCCGCACCTTTTAAAAGTTCACCAGCACACTGAGAACCTAGCATCCATGCAGCTTAGGAGCCTTTTGGGGATCATAGCATACTGAAACCATAGCCATTAGGAGTTGTCTTAGCAAATGTCACCCTAGCTTTATATCTTATAAATTATATTAAGTAGAAAGTATTGTATACTTTTTAAAACTAGTGTATCCTTTTTCTAATCCTATTTGAGACAGGTCTGAGGCCAAAGTTGGCCCCAAACCTCCTCCTGACTCAGCCTCCCAAGTCCTGGGACTACAAGCATGTGCCACTGCACCTACTTCCAAATTTTTAAGATCATTTTACCCGAAGTTCTGCAGCTAATATACTGCCAGTCTGTGGGTCAAAAAGAAACATTTTCATAGAATCAAACAAATCAGGCACATAATTGTTAACAGCTTAAGCGTAAAACAATTTACACAGCTGTGATCAATGGTACTGCTTTCATTCTTTTTAGTGAACATCAATGTCTTTTTTTTTTTTTTTTTTTTTACTTTTTTGTGTCTTTATTGTTAACCACCGCAAACCCTCTTAGGCAGAGGGCTGTTTTTTTTTTTTTTATTATTCATATGTGCATCCAAGGCTTGGGTCATTTCTCCCCCCTGCCCCAACCCCCTCCCTTACCACCCACTCTGCCCCCTCCCTCTCACCCCCACCCCCTCAATACCCAGCAGAAACTATTTTGCCCTTATTTCTAATTTTGTTGTAGAGAGAGTATAAGCCATAATAGGAAGGAACAAGGGTTTTTGCTGGTTGAGATAAGGATAGCTATACAGGGAGTTGACTCACATTGATTTCCTGTGTGTGGGTGTTACCTTCTAGGTTAATTCTTTTTGATCTCACCTTTTCTCTAGTTTCTGGTCCCCTTCTCCTATTGGCCTCAGTTGCTTTTAAGGTATCTGCTTTAGTTTCTCTGCGTTGAGGGCAACAAATGCTAGCTAATTTTTTAGGTGTCTTACCTATCCTTACCCCTTCCTTGTGTGCTCTCGCTTTTATCCTGTGCTCAAAGTCCAATCCCATTGTTGTGTTTGCCCTTGATCTAAAGTCCACATATGAGGGAGAACATACGATTTTTGGTCTTTTGAACATCAATGTTCAAAGTGAATTTCCCCCTTGGTTCTTACTCTCCATCCTCCATGGAGTAGCAGCAGAGCTGTGCGTGTGTGTGCTGTGTGCCGTGCATCTGAGCAGCCTCTGCATTTTCACTGATGGGGCTGTGTGATCAAGCCCACTAACAGGCCACACAGTAAATCCTGGATCTCCCACCTAGCCTATGACTTTTTTCCCCCTCTCTAGGCTTCTGTTTCCTCATGTTGAAAACGGAAGTAATAATGGAATGTGCATCAAAGTGTCAGTGTGAGGAGTAAATTAGGACAAGTCTCCTAGTATTTCCTAGCACTTGATAAATAACATAGAGTCTGTAGCCATGATGGTAACAGTGACTATCATCACATATACCATTACTGTATTAAATTGGTAGAAGCCTCTAACAGATTTGTTGGACTTCACAACAACCATCTTCACTCTTGTGACCAAGTTTTTTGTTGTTGCAGTACTGGGATTTGAACTCATGGCCTCATGCTTCCTAGGCAGATGCTCTACCACTTGAGCCATTCCCCCCAGTGCTTTATTTGGTTTAGTTGTTTTTTAGGTGGGGGTCACACCTTTTTGCCCAATCCTGGCCTCCCACTACAATCCTTACCTGCAACCTCTAATGTAGCTGGAGTCACAGGTGCTGCCACCACACCAGGCTTATTAATTAAGATGGACTTGCTCTTTTCCTTGGGCTGGACATAAATCTCAATGCTCCTGATCTGTGTCCCAAGTAGCTGGGGTTACAGTTGTGTACCTCCACATCTGGCCCTGACAAAGTCTTTATTTGGTTTTGGTATGCACTTCTACATAGTGATTCAGAAATTTATTGTGGTTTCTCTTTTTATGATTATCTTAAGTAATATTTTCATTAGGAGTCCTTTTGCCCTCAGAACATATTCTAGCTCTGTTCAGGGATATAACAGGGTTTGGGGTCATGTCTGGGAATATTCTCACAAAGGAAAACAGTAGGTATGGAACACATGTTCTCTTGTTGAGAGACTGCTATTTGTTGACACTCTTGTGATTGCATATTGTGGCTTCAGATGTTGGCCCTGAGAGTGGCTGGGCAGAGTGCTGTACAGCCAACATGAATGATGATGTGAAGGCAACGGAAATAGCTAATCCTCAAGTTGCTGTCTTTTGAGATATTTATATGGGTATTGTGTTTCTTCTGTTGCATAAGAAACAGCTGAAAATGACAGGCATTTACTATATGTGTCTGTGAGTCAGGAGACTGAAGATGACTTGGGCAGGTCCTCTGCTGCAGATCTCAGAAGTGTGGAATCGAGGTGTCAGCTGGGCTGCATTCTACCTGGAGACTAACCGAGGAGCACTACTTCCAACCTCATTCAGGTTTTGGCAGAAATTGTTTCCTAAAGGATGAGGACATAGTTTAAGGCCTGGTTTCTTACAGGTTGTGACTGGAGGCTGCCTATGGTTCTTTCTCTGTAGACAGAGCACATGGATTGCTTGCTTCCTCATGACCCATGGGGCAGGGTTTCAACTCCAGTGTGCTAGGATCAGCTTGGACTTCACGTGATTGTGTGCGTCACATTGCTGCAACTTTCTCATATTGTTTGGGAGTGCCATATATCAGGTCACTTCCACATTCTGGAACAGAGGATTTGTTTGAGGGTGGGATTCATCAGAGTTCACAACAGGGCATGTGGAGAACAGTTCCTTGTATTTAGAGCAGTGAAGTTGTCAGCTTCTCTTTCTTAAAAGTCTTCATGTCAGGTTAATTTTATAACATTTATTCACTATGAAAATATTGCAGATTGCACTTCCAGAGCAGAAATGCTACTTTTCAGAACATGTTCAAGGATGGCTGTTATTTTATCCAGGATCACTCCAAGCACCCAATAGTTATTTCATTGTTTGAAAGAAATGTGTTTGTATATTGTTTTCATACTAACATTTTTTGCTGTTGTTGGTCCTATGGTTTAACCTCAAGACCTCATGCTTGCCAGGCAGGTGCTCTACCACTTGACACATGCCTCTGAACCTAAATGTGTTTGTATAGATACATTTTATAGTCATAGAACATTCTTCTTGGAACATTTAACTGTTATGTGGAATGCCTTATCTGGGGAGGGACTCTGATCTCCTACTATGAAAACCAAAGATCAATTTTTCAAAAAATTATATACTTGGGCTATCTTCCACCCTAATCTTTCTCAAGTTACAAGGTCTTTTGGCTCAAATTCCTCCTCTTGCATTTCCATCACACCCTCACTAAACACCTGTTTCTTACCAAAATAATAACCTCCTTGTATACAGCTAAAAAAACAAAAAAAGAGTCAATTAATGCTTGATAATTTTGAAGAAAACTTTTAACAAAAGGAGGAATTGTGAGAATCAACTAAAGTCAGGTCTTTTCTGTCAAAAGTGTTAATGTATAGTACATTATCATCGTACTTGTCAGCTTAACCTCCCTGAATTGTTGCTTCTGTATCTTGTGAGAAATCACTTAACCCTATAAATTCTTGTTTTAAACACAGTGGTGTTCTTCATAGCTGAGTAAGTTTCTGTTATCATCAGAAGCCCTAGTTTCAAAAACTGCTTGCTTAAGGCAACTATTGTTCAAGTAAATCTTTGCTCTCCCTTGCCCAAGGTTGCTTGCCCCACATGTCCCCTTTTCAAATTATCCAGTCGTGACAATTGTGAACTCAAAACCCATTCAATCACTGTGATGGCACACTTGCATTAAAGATAAAAGCTGAGCAATCTTCCCACCCAGTGTGCTTGCTAACCAGACTCTTTCTGGCACACCATTCTGCAGAGGTAAATTTTGCCTTGCCTATTGAGCTCTGAGGTGTGCCATCTCTCTTGTGCCACCCCAATATCCAAAATTCATTTCTAGCAGTCAAGTTCTCTGTTTTCCCATCAATTGTGGATTTGACATGTTAAAGTCTTTAACTGAATATATTCAGTTTTCCTTCATATATTTGGGGTGTTCATATATTTGAGGGTATTATGATAAAAATTGTTGTATCTTGGTGAATTGAGATTTTTATCAATATATACTGACTTTTCTTGCTACATTTTTGATGTAAAATCAACTTGTCATGGGGATTTTACCCAGGTCCTCATGCAAGCTATGAAGGGGGGAGGGGGACTGGAGTTCGAACTCACTTAAATAGACCTATTACAAGCAATGAAATTGAAGCTGTAATAAAGAGCTCATCTACAAGAGAGCCCAGGTTCTGATGGATTCATGACTGAATTTTACAAGCCTTTTAAGAAGAACTAATCCAAATACTCCTCAACTTTTCCAGGAAATAGGGAAGGAACACTACCAAACTTATTCTATGAAGCCAGCATTACACTCATTCCAAATCCCAAAAGAGAATTATAGACCAGTATCTTTAATAACTATAGACACAAAGATTCACAACAAAATACTGGCAAACAGAATTCAATGACACATCAAAAACATCACACACCATGACCAAGTTGGTTTCATTCCAGACATGCAAGGATGGTTCAACATATATAAAAATAATACAGCACATAAACAGAAGCAAGGACAAAAACCACATGATCCTCTCAATAGATGCAGAAAAAGCCATTGACAAAATTTAACACCCTTTCATGATAAAAGCTCTGAAGAAAGTAAGGATAGAAGGAATGTTCCTCAACATAATAAAGGCTATATATGACAAAACTATAGGCAACATTATACTAAATGGAGAATAAGTGAAACCAATCCCATTAAAGTCAGGAATGAGAAAGGGATGCCCACTTTTCCCACTCCTATGCAATATAGTTCTGGAATTCCTAGCCAGAGCAATAAGACAAGAGCAAGAAATAAAAAGGATTCAAATAGGGAATGAAGACATCAAACTATCCCTATTTGCAAATGACATGATTGCATACATAAGAAGCTGTAAAAACTACCCAAAACTATTAGAAAGCATAAACTCTTTGGGCAAAGTAGCAGGACACAAAATTAATGTACAGGTATCAATAACTGTCGTATATACAACAATGAACAGACTGAGAAAGAAATCAGGGAAAGAACCCCATGTGCAACAGCCTCAAACACAATCGAGTACCTTGGACTAAACTTAACAAAGGAAACCAAAGATCTTTTTAATGAAAACTATAACCATTGAAAAGACATCAGAAGATAGAACAATCTCCCATGCTCATGGATTGGTAAAATGGACATTATGAAAATGGACACACTACCAAAAGCAATATACATTTTCAACATAATTCCTATCAAAATTGCAGTAATATTCTGCACAGAATTCAAAAATAAATCCTGAAATACATATGGAAACACAACAGAACTTGAATAGCCAAAGCAATTCTGAGCAAAAAATCCAATGGTGGAGGCACCACAATATCTGACTTCAGACTATATTACAGAGCCATAGCAATAAAAACAGCATAGTATTGGCACAAAACAGACAGGAAGAGCAATGGATCAGAATAGAAGACCCAGTCATAAACCCACTCATCTGTGGCTACCCGATCTTCAACAAAGGAGCCCAAACATGATGGAGAAAAGGCACCTCTTGAAGAGATGTTGCTGGGAAAAGTGCATATCCACAAGTAGAAAACTGAAACTAGATCTCTGTCTTTCACCCTATACAAAATCAACTCAAAATGGATCAAAGACCTTAAAATAAGGCCTGAAACTTTGAAACAACTCCAGGAAGTAGTAGGAAATACACTGGAACATGTAGGTATAGGGAATGACTTTCTAAGTATAACTAAAAAGGCTCAGCATCTAAGAGAAAAAAATGAACAAATGGGACTGCATCAAAATAATGAGCTTGCACACCCAAAGAAAGTCACTAGACTCAAGAGACAGCCCACAGAATGGGAGAAAATCTTTGCCAGCTACTCATCAGATAAGGGACTAAATTCAAGAATCTACAAGGAACTCAAGAAACTCAACCCTCAATGAATCAACATCCTAATGAAGAAATGAGCACATGAATTAAACAAGGAATTCTCAAAGGAAGAGGTACAAATTGCCAGTAACAACATGAAGAAGTGTTCAACTTCCCTGGCTACAAAAGAGATGCAAATCAAAATAACACTTAGATTTCATCTCACCACACTTGTAATGGCCATATTCAAGGTCAATAACAACAACAAATACTGGCAAGGATGCAGCAATACAAGAACACTTATACCCTGTTGGTGGGAATGCAAACCACTATGGAAAGCAGCATGGAGATTCCTCAAAAAGCTAAAGATAGAACAACCGTATGATCCAGTGATACTGCTCCTGGACATCCACTCAAAGAAACATAAGATTACAATATAGACACCTGTACACCAATGTTCATCACAGCACTATTCACAGTAGCCAAGCTATGGAAACAACTCAGATGCCCTACACCTCAGTTTGGACTCATTGCCATCTGTTCCTTAAAGTTGATTGGATAAGTTGTTTAAATCCCACCTGGGGAAGAGTCCGTACATATCCAAGTGTGTCTTATAGGTGGGATTGACATGTTTTTTAGTAGGTTGAAAGTGGAAGCAGCCACCTTTCTGTAAGGATGCTAGGCAGGGACTATGGCTGTAATTGGAGGGCCAAAATATGAGGACCCAGGGGAGTGCTAGAAGGAGACATTTGAGCAGTATGCAGTGTAAATCCATCCTTGGGGCAAAGCCCAGTTCCTACCACAGCAGTCAAAAATCACAAGCAAGAGCGATTTTCTCGTGACCTTACTATATGCTTAAGGATTTTATTGATTTTTTTGGATGATACTTGTATTTGAACTTAGAGCCTCTTATGTGCTTGGAAGGTGCTCTGCCACTTGAACTATGCCCCGAAGCCATTTTGTTCTAGGTATTTTTCACATAGGATCTCATGGTTTTTGCTTGGCTGGCCTGAGACTGTGGTCCTCCTATCTACAGCCTTGCAAGTTGCTGGGATCATGCCAATACTCCCTGCCTGACCTCAAACTGTGGTCCTGTCCATCTCTGTCTCCTGAGTAGCTGGGCATGTAGCACAATAATTGGGAATTTTATTGATGGTTTTTCTTTTTTCAGCCAGTATCATTTTTTTTCTTCTTTTTTTACTGTTCTGGGTGAGGGTACATTATGGTATTTACAAAAGTTCTTGCAATATGTCAAGTATATCATACTTGAATTCACCCCCTCTACCATTCTCAGAACAGTTTCAACAGGTCTCATTTTTCCATTTACATACATGTGCACACAGTATTTGCACTTTATTCACCTTCCCACGTCCTTTCCACACCTCCTCCCCCCTCCCACTGGTACCAAACTCCTGAGGCAGGACCTGTTCTCCCCTCTGGTTCTCTAATTTTGTAAATGAAAAAAAAATGCCATGTCTGTTTTCAATGCATTCTTTGCCACTTCAAATTCTGGTTTTTGTCTTTTAATACACCTTGAACTATTTTCTTCATAGCCTAACCTGTCATAGCAAAAAAGAGGAATGGTTGGGAATAATGCATTTAGTAATATGATAAGGTATCAGGGAGGGCAAGCTGTGTTATTCTATTAAGGCTACTATAATAGAATGACACAGACTGGCTGCAGTGTGCTTTGTCTCCTCCACTCCCTTTTGGATTCAGGAAGAGTTGTATTTTTAGTTTCTTTAGCTCTGTATTTGATTTTTGGATGGAGTGACAGCTTACTGTTTTTATCATTTTTTTGTCATTATGACAAAATACCTGAGATAATGAACTTAAAAGGAGGAAAGATTTGTATTGTCTGTTGGGTTTGGAGTTTTCAGTGTGTCATCACTTGACCCCATTGCCTTTTGGGCCTGTGCAAGGCCCAGATGTACTTTTGCCTCATAACCAGGAAGGCAAAGACAGACAACAATTGGCTAGGCCTCAATATCACCTTCAGGGCACACCTTCCATGACCTCTTAAAGATTTCACCACCTGCTATTGCACCATGGGCTGGGTCCTAGACTTTCATTCCTGGTCCTTTTTATATATATACTTTTTTTTAATTTTTAATTTTTGGCTGTTTTTCTTTTTTTAAATTCATTTATTTATATGTGTATACATTGTTTGGGCCATCTCTTTGCCCCTGTCACCTCCCCCCACACTCCTGGTCCTTGATGGCATTTTGTATCCTAGCTAAAGCAAAACTTATACCAGGATGGTTCTTGTATTTTCATTTATTTTGTGTTTTTGAGGCAGGATTCCTCTTTAGCTCATACTAGCCTTATCTGCCCTCTGTTGCTTAGCTTGGCCTTGAACTCTGGATCCTCCAGCCTCTACCTCCTGAGTGCTTGAATTACAGGTGTATACCACCATGCCTGGCCCAGGATGGTATTTGAAAAAGAACCTTCTCAATGCCCATGTGAACCACTGAAAGAATTTTTCTCCATAGAATGTGAATATACTTAATTATGTTAGTGGAGCTCCTTTTTCTTGTTTTTCTCTTTTTTCTGAGACAGGGTCTCACTATGTAGCCCAGGCTGGCCTGGAAGTGATGATCCTCCTGCTTCGGCCCCCTGAGTCTTGGGATTACACGCATGTACCATCATGAAAGCATCATAAAGTCTTAACATTGAATTTTTCTTTATTTTTGGCACAAACTCTGAAAATTCTTTCTTTGCCTTTTTAGTCTATTTCTTGTCCTCTATCAGGAAATATTAGTTTCTTATATTCTTATTACTTATAAGAACATAAGTACTGTACTTTCCTTCTCTGAAGACCATGCATTTCACTCACTGTGATAACATTAGGCAGCACTAAAGTTCTGTTACTGCACAAATTATTTTATCTTTAGCTTTATATCTCTCTCCTGAACTATTGAATCATGTATGTTATTGTATTAGGCCCTCCTATATATGTGGTATCAGATATTCCAAAAGTGATTTGTTCAAGTCTGTGTCACTTTGTTGGATTTTTCTTTTTTTTGAGGTGCTGGGGTTTGAACTCAGGTTCTTAGGCAGGTGCCCTACCATTTTGGTACTTAGCCTGCCCTTTTTTAAAATTGAGTATTTTCTTTTCTTTCTTGTTTTGTTGTGCTTTTTTATTGTTGTTGTTTTTCTTGTATGTGTGTGTACGTTGGGTATTTTCGAGATAGGGTCTAATGAACTATTTGCCTAAGTTGGCTTTGAACAAGGGTCCTCCTGATCTCTGCCTCCAGAGTAAGTAGGATTACTGATGAGACCAAGCAGTACCCAGCCTGCTGTTGTGTTCTTCCATTTTCCAAATTTCATGTCATGGCACGTGTATCTAAGTAGATCATCTGGAACTAAAACATCTTTTTATCTTTGTTCAGCAAAATCTTAACCCAATTCTGTTTTTGCCCTTCTTTTCTTTCTTCCCCTTGAAGTTTACCTCTGTGTTCTGCAGTCTTACTTCTCTGTGACCTGACATCTCACTCTTGTTTCTTACTCTTTAACTCTCCCTTAAGCCTTTCCAATTCTCCTCTCAAGGATGACTGTTGAAATGTAGATCTGCTCTGTTTGCTCAGCTGTTCTCCCCTGATCTCACATTTTACACCTGTTGCTTGGGAAATGACAGAGATGCCTGGAGTGAATACCAGCAATCTTTTGGAGATAAGAAGGAAATTTTTTGAAGGCTGTGTGCATATTTTTAGTTTATAAGTCATTAGAAAACAACAAGCACATAAAATTTCTTGTTGGATATTGTGTATACATATAAAATGCATAATCAGTGCCTCAATATTGTGTGTATCTCCCATCATGGTCCAGTTTCATTCACCTCAACATGGTACCATGTGTAGTTCCATTACTGTGGTGGCTGTTGATTGTGTGGTTGTGGGTGGACTTCTACTGCACATGTTTTTAGCAAATGGAAGGGAAAATATCCTAGGCTTCTCAGTGAAGTGCAGACTTATTATGCAAAATAGAAGTATATGTTCTGCTTCCCTGCTTCATTTACACTGAAGCTGTAAATCAATTCTTCTAACAGATTGTGGGCTTTTATTTGTGTTTAATGGCTTCTTCATACCAGTTCATAAGCTCCTTGAAGGAGCAGAATTTTATTTTATTTTTAATAGAGTGGAACTTGCTGTGCAGACCAGGTTGGCCTTCAACTCAAAATACTCTGATCTCATTCTCTTTGGTACTGGGATTATAGCCATGTACCACCAGGCCTGTTTTTACTAATGCTTTATTCCCTAGGGTAAGGATGTTTTTAGATGTGTGATGTAAACTTTGTTATAATATTTTAATACTGTTTGATACTTAATAAATTATTACAATGACAATACATTCCTGTGATTTTCCTTTACCATACAGAGTGCAAAATGAGTAGCTTTTTTTTTTTTGCAAAATACATATAAGAATCCCCCCACTCCCAGCTCCACATACAGAAGCAGAACTTCCATATTCCAAGGGTTTTTGAGTTGAGAAGAAATTTGGCATTCCAGGAGTCGGTGTCATTTGAGGACATGACTGTGGACTTTATCTGGGAGGAATGGCGGGATCTGGACCATGCTCAGAGGACCCTGTACAGGGAGGTGATGCTGGAGACCTACAGCAGCCTGGTGTCCTTAGGTGAGTGAAACTGTCCTATCGTGCTCAGGAGCAAGCACTATCTTCTTAGTAAATATATGAAAACTGTTTAGATGCACAGTTCCAGCCTATGAAAAAATCAGTTGTTCATCCTCTCATGAAAAGTTCACATGTGCCCCTTCATTGCACAGTTTCAAAGCTGTGGTTTGTCTTGCATTAAAGAACCTGATTTATAATGGAGAGAATAAGCCAAATCAGGTTATAATACACATACGTATATAAGGAAATGTCATAGTGAAACTCCCTGTATAACCATCATAAATAAATAAAAATTTAAAAATAAGGGAAAGAAAGGTAAAATGTCCAGGGTTTGGTATGGCATAAGGAAAGGGTGAAGGAGGGGTAATATGGCGGAAGTATTACGTATTTGTGTAAGAAAATGGGATAATGAGACCTACTGAGACTGTTGTAAGAATGACGGGAGGGAGGATTTAATATAACTACTTTGTAAATGTCACAATGTATCTCTGATACAACTACAATATGCTGATTCATCTATAAAAGAAAAAGAAAAAAATTAAATAAAAATTTAAATGTAGCTCCTCAGCAAGACTAGTCCTATTTCAAATGTTTGATAACCACTGTGGCTGGCAGCAGCCTTGCTGGTAAGAAAGGTACAGAACATGTCCGTCATCGCAGAAATGGATAGTGGGGGGGAATACCTGACTTAATTGTTTGACGAAATCCTACCTTGTTTTGCATGAACAGGCAAATGCGTCACCAAACCTGAGCTGATCTTCAAGCTGGAGCAAGGAGCAGAGCTATGGATTGGAGAAGAACCCCCAAGCCAGAGCCCACCAGGTGAGTCAATGCGTCCTGAGTGAGGAGGGCATTAGAGGGGAGCCCAGCAGATGTTGGCTATGTTGACTGATTATACCAGGTTGTCTTCCAGATTGCAGACCTGAGGACAGTGGGCTTGTGCATTACAGCCACCAAGGAGGGCTCTCACACATATATTGTTTCCTTTATCCCAAATCTAAACCCTATTCTTCTTAGATACTTTTCTTTGCTATTTATTTTCTCAGTTGCCTCACCTTCCATTCTCGTGGATTTAAAAAATTAATTTACTTTTAAATTAATTATTTTTTGTGGGTCTGGAGTTTGAATTCAGGGCTTTGATCTTGCAAAGCAGGCAGGCACTTGCAAAGCATGTGCTCTATTGCTTGAGCCACACCTCCGGTCCATTTGGATGTGGTTATTTTGGAGGTGAGGTCCTGTGATCTATTTCCCTGGGGCTGGCTTCAAATCCAGATTTCCTGATCTCAGCCTCCCAAGGAGCTAGGATTAGAGGTGTGAACCTCTGGCACCTGGTTTAATAATTTTTTTGAGACAGATTCCTGATATGTACCCTGGCATTGTAGTCTGGATCTTCCTGTTTCTGCCTCCTTTGATTTGAGATTACAGGTACCTGCCACTATGCCTGGCATCTCATGGATTTGTATTGTCTGACATTTATTCATAAATTATTTATGCTTCTTCACATCGTACTAAAGCTGTTTTTTGTTTGTTTGTTTGTTTTGTTTTATTTTGTTTTTCGGTACTGGTGTTTGTTCTTAGGGCCTTCACCTTAAGCCACTCCACCATCCCTTTTTTTGTAAAGGGTTTTTCAAGACAGGGTCTTGTGAAATATTTTCCTGGGCTGGCTTCGAACTGCAATCCTCCTGATCTCTGCCTCCTGAGTAGGTAGGATTATAGGTGTGAGCCACTGGTGCCTAGCTTAAAGCTGGTTTTAAGCACTGGCAGTTTTATTGATGTAATGATGAAAGAAATTATCAAAATAATGTCTCTTTCATCGAATTTATAGTGTGCTGAGAGAAAAGCAAGAAAGTAGTGTATTTTAAGTAGTGAAATAAGAACCAATGTGAGAAAAAGAAATTGATATGTGATCATTTAGGAAGGATTGTCAAAGAAGACAGACTTAGGTGGAATTTGTTTGTTTGAATTTCCTGCATTGTGGATAGAACCCAGGGTCTCAAGTGTGCTGGTCCAGCATTGTACCAATGGGCTTCACTTGTAGTAAGATTATTAAGTGTTCATCTTGAAATAGCTTGAGTTTTAGTTCCTGTTTTAAAAATTTTACACATAATAGGTGAATATGAAGATTTACAGTTGAGAGTCTACATCACTCTTGGAAGCACAAATTTAGAAATTGGTAGCTTGAAATCAAAAGTGAGGGGGATGAAGAAAAAACTTACATTTCTGAGAAACAGAGTCAGTGAGGTTAAATCAGGACTTTATAGGAAGCTATTTTCATCTAGAACAGGAAAGAATACATTTTATATTTGAAAAACTCCCTAGATGTGTATAGTTATTCCCTGGGTAAGAATGAAAGCAAAACAAACATAGATGCAAATGCTGCTATACCAAAGCCATGTTCCTGTTTAGGTGGCAGTCAGCTGAACCTCACTTGTATTATACAGTTTCTGGCCCTGAAAATTCTTGCACTCTTCAAAGTAGAATAACAAAAGGAACAGCAGCAGGAGACCCCAGCATTATCAAAATGATAGAGGAAAAAATGGGGGGAAATTGGCAGGAGAGAAATACTCCACAGAAAAATGACTGATGACTAGGCTGTAGGTGAATATTTTAACCAAATACTACCATATGGAAATAAAATGAAAGAAGCAAAGAAAAAAGTTCAACAATATAAAATCCATCAGTGTCATTTGTTACTTGAAGTCAGTAGGAAGAAAGCTATTTACTTACAAGTCAATTCCTGTTGTGTTTTTTTTAAATGAAATCTTATGCCAGTAGGAGGGGAAGAATCTCCTTTATGTACATATGCACATTCCATAGAAATGGTTAGATGTGTTTCATGCATATGGTCATTTTCTTTTTTCTCATTTTAGATGTCCAGAAGGTGGATATCATAAGAGACCAGTGGGGAAAGTCAAGACAGATATTTGTGGCAAGCTGGAATCACTATGAACAACACACCAACTAAGAGAGTTACATTACAACATGCCTTTCATTTGAGTTCTAACCATATTTCAAATTAGATTGTAAAGAATTCAGGCTCTTTAGGAGTGAAGCCCAAGGAGTTGAATGTATGTCAGAACACGCATTGCCCTGTTAAGCCTGAGGGGATGTGTGCTGGTGAGAAACCCTATCAATGTAATCAGTGTGGAAAACCTTTTGCCAGAAATCAAACCTCACCAGGCATGAGATAATTCACACTGGGGAGAAGCCCTATAAGTGCATTCAGTGTGGTAAAACCTTTGCCTGGAATTCATACGTCACTGTGCATGAGATGATTCACACTGGGGAAAGGCCCTATCAATATGGAAAAATCAAACTTCCTCAAACAAGAAATAATTCACACTGGGGAGAAGCCCTATCAGTGTAATCAGTGTGGAAAAACCTTTGGCTGCAAGACACGCCTCACCCAGCATGAGATAATTCACACTGAGAAGAAGCCCTGTAAGTGCAATCAGTAAGATAAAACCTTTGCTTGGAAGTCATACCTCACCATGCATGAGATTATTAACACTGGAGAGAAGCCCTATAAGTGTTGTCAGTGTCATAAAACCTTTATCTCAAAGTCACAAGTCACTAGGCATAAGATGATTCACACTGGGGAGAAGCCTTTCAGTTTGGTCAGTGTGGAAAATTCTTTCATCTGAAGTCAGCCCTGGATAGACATGAGATAATTCACACTGGAGAAAGGCCCTATCAGTGTAATCAGTGAGGAAAAGGCTTTAGCCTGAAATCAAACCTCACCAAGCATGAGATAATTCGCACTGGGAAGAAGCCCTTTAAGTGTAGTCAGTGTGGAAAAACCCTTGTTTGGAAGCCATACCTCATACCGCACGAGATGGTTCACACTGGGGAGAAGCCCTATATGTGTAGTCAGTGCGGAAAAACCTTTGGCCGGAAGTCACACCTCATGAAGCATGAGAACACTCACACTGTGGAGAAGCCCTGTCAGTGTAACCGATGTGGAAAAGTCTTTGGCTGGAAGTCACACCTCAGTAGGCATCAGACCACTCACAAGAGAGGAGGCTTTTGAAGGTAGAAGAGCTTTCTCAGAAATCAAACCTCAGGAAACATCAGCGAATTTACACGATGGGAAAGTCCTGTATGGCAGACACTCACTGTGTTTCTGCTAAAACCCATATTCTTTCCTCTGGGATATGGCAAGCTTTTCTCTGCTGCCACTTCCTGTGGCCAAGACTTCACAGCTCTCTGTGGAGATACAGACACAGTGATGAACATTCCTTCCAGGGCTGTAATGGAACAATGACTTTGCAGTCCTCCTGGACTTGAAATGGGAGCCTCATGTGTGTTCAGTCACTGTGATTTGGAACAGAGGCTTTTCCTCCACTGGTCCAGCAGCCTCCATTTGTTACACATGAGATTTATTAGAGATGTAATCATAACAAAGGCTCTGTTGAGCATTTTTATGTGTAGTCTGTGCATTTCAGCACTCACAGCCACTGATGCTTACTTTATGAATATGGGAGGTGTTCCTGAGAGACTCACCCAATTCGTGTGTATCAGAACATTCATACAGAAGAGAAACCTGTGTTGTCATCTTTCATCTTCAAGTCAGTTTTTGGGATAATCAAATAAATGTGGTGGCCTAAGAACAGTGCTCATTTCTATAATCCCAGCAATTTGGGAGTGAAGAGTGGAGGATTATGGTTCTAGGCCATCCTGGGCAGAGTTATCAAGATACCATCTCTAACAAGCCAGGTGTTGTTACAGCTGTACCCATCTGTAACCATAGTTCTATGATTGGCATTGGTGGAAGGATTGTGTTCCAGAACTCCCTGGGTGAAACCTGAGACCCTATGTGAAAATATCTAAAAATAATAATAATAATAATAATAGGCTTGTGATATAACTCAAGTGGTAAGAGTCAACCTACCAAGCTTGAGGTCCTTAGTTCACACACAATTCTGTCAATAACACCCCCCAATTTGAAATTCATCCCCATCCTGTTTTAGAAGATTATTTGGGGTGCCTGTTACTTTCTCCTACCCAACATTTCTTACACCAAAATTTCTTCTCCACAGTATTTTAGTGACAACCCAACAATGTGACCATAATATAATGCTGCATATGCAGTGTTCATAGGAGGTCTTGTGTCTAGGGTGGGGATCAAGTGTCTCTTGGCCCTGAAATCTTGGTTAGCACTGACTTTGTGTGTGAACCTGGAGCTGCACACACCATCATGAGTCTGTGTTTTTAGGGTACAGAGAAGCTGTGAGCAGTGTGTCTTTAAGATTTAAAGGTCCATGTATTGTGAACATCTCTGACGCCCACCCCAATGATTTATACAAGACTACTGCGTTTATTTTTATCCATGGGTGGTTTTATCTTTGGCTTCCAGTCTGTAGAGGTGAGTCACTTTTCTTTGTAATTGGGTCCTGCTTTGACTGAATTTGCCCAGGGTCTGACCTCTTCTTTTTTAATATCTTAAAATTACAGTAGGTTTACCTTTCTTTAGTATGTTGTAGAGTGAATCTTTTCTTTATGACCACTGATATTGATCCATTATTTCATTTATGTCCTGTGTTGACTTCCTTCACACATCCATGAGCCTTTTCTGAATTCTGATTGGATTTGCATAGATCTCAGTGTGTACCTGCTTGGAGTGGATCACTTCACCTTGCTAGCATGTCCTTTCCTGGGAAATGTGACAACAAGAATAGTAATGGTGGTTCTGGCTACAACTGATCATGCCCCAATTCCCATTCTAGGACACATGTCAAAGTCATGTGTTTGCCATCTCAACCACTGCTCACTGGGGACTCCCCACACTATGTTTACAGTCCCTGATAGTCCCAAATACTCAC